TAAGGGATTTTACTTCACATATTTGGATTCAGCCATATACCAAAAAGCAGTATCAATGCTCAATTTAGATGTAGTTTATTTATCTGATAACCCTGAATACCATCTGGTATTCACTGAAGGGAACTCTACCAGCACAAAACATAGGAGACGTTGGTTCAGCAGCTTGTTTTCTAACCATATTAGTATCGAAAAGGTTAAATCATATTAAATCAATTCACATTTAGTTTTGTTTCATTAGAACTCTTTTCGAAATCAAATCCGCTGTACCCCCCAAGGGTGACTGGGGAATAGAAGTATGGTCACCATTGGTTTTCCTCCGACCGGCAGTAAAACCCTTGCTAAAGTGGGGCGTCCGTTTGGCTGTGCGGGATGTACAAATTTGCAGCCACGTCCGGTCAGAATGGGGACGTTAAATCCGATGCCTCGTGTAAAGAGAGTGCCACGCTCTTTGCACGTGAAGAACCCTTGCAACAACTCTTTGAGGGGTCCGTAGGTGACCTGTTGCAAGACTAAATTTCTGTCCCTATCCAATATACCCTAATTTCCGGTAGCAGTCTAAATTTCTCCGACCTTAATCCCGGACGCCCCTTTTACAGAACCTACCTATTGTATTTATTGTTAATTTGTTCTCGTCCTGAATATGCATGAAATATTTGCCACTGGACTTTAAGCAACCAACAATCAATCAATCAATCAAATCCGCTGTACATCCATTTTTAACGTAAAATTATACTATCAAACTGTTCTACTTCTTTGTTAAAAAACTGGGGAGTATGTGACTGGATAGGAAAGTTCTCTTTGTTGCGATAGTTTGGCATAAATGAAAAGTTCGGACATGAGTATTTTTCACTATCTTTGTCGAATTTTATCCTTGGCATCAGTTAGTTACAGAAATCAGATTTTATTCAGTTTCCTGACTTCTGATATCGTGTTCCCAAAAGAGTGGGATTTACCTTGGGTAATTCTTTAATTCTTGATTTTGAAGATATATTATTAAAAAGCAAAATGATAACATAAACCGTTACTAAGCCTTATATCTTATTATCACAATAATAAAATATTAAATAGTGGTCATATTTGAAAAACAATCCGTTTCTAAATTAAATCCACTTCAGATCAAATATTGGCTATGTACAAAAGTCCTGAAGATTTCAATTATAACATGAAACTAAGAACACTTAACTAACATGATCCTGAAGGGTTGGAAGAACACACTATATATTCTTCAAAACAAGGATCTCTCTGATTTTCCAGACAACACAACTAGGGATTACACGACTGTTGCCTGCCCTAAGTTGGCCATGTATCCATAGGACATACTGCCTATAGGCAGCATGCCTGTTTCCTCTTTTGTAATTATGAGCATGTGGATCAACCAGCATGTCCTTCCTCATTCGCCTTGCAACCCCCAGAACCAGTTCACCTAGAATAACTGTTAAAATCCTACAACAGGAATGACATTGGTCAGTAATAAGTTTAGTTACATGTATATGCAGAATAAAACTAAGCTTGTGTTATTAAGCTTTTGTTATTTACAATACATAGATATAGATAACAGGGCCCTCATTCATAATACTTTATTCAGAAAAAGTATCTTGGGATCATAAGAATTTTTTTTTTATTTTCTTATTCTGAAAAGACTCGCCCTTAGTTTGGAGTAACAGTTGGCTGGAATTTGGTTACAGCATACTTTTTCTTGCCCTTTTAGAGCAAATGTGACAGGGGTAAAATTGTTTAATTGGTCAAGATCTATCGGCCCTGAAATTTTCAGACAAATCGAACAACCCATTGTTGGTTTGCTGCCACCGAATTGGTAGTTTTAACAAAATTTTGCAGTTTTTATACGACCGCAAAAATTAAAAAATTTTTGGTCGTATATTGGTATGACGTTGGCGGCGTCGTCGTCGTCGTCGTCGTCTGGCGTCGTCCGGCGTCGTCGTCGTCGTCGTCGTCTGGCGTCGTCCGGCGTCGTCCGAAGACACATTGGTTTTCGCACTCTAACTTTAGTTTAAGTGAATGGATCTCCATGAAATTTTACCATACGGTTCAATACCACGAAAGGAAGGTTGGGATTGATTTTGGGGGTTATGGTACCAACAGTTAAGGAATTAGGGGCCAAAAATAAGCATTTTTGTAACTTCCAGACAATAACTTGTGTGTAAGTGTATTGATCTCTCTGACATTGTACCACAAGGTTCCATATCACAAAGGGAAGGCTGTAATTGATTTTGGGGGTAATTGCCTCAAAATTTTAGGAATTAGGGGCCAAAAAAGGGGCAAAAAACAAGCATTTTTCTAGTTTCATGACAATAACTTGTGTGTAAGTGTTTGGATATTTCTGAAATTGTACTACAAGGTTCCATATCACAAATGGGAAAGCTGGAATTGAGTTTGGGGGTAATTGCCTGAAACGTTTAGGAATTGGGGGCCAAAAAGGGGTCAAAAATAAGCATTTTTCTAGTTTCCAGACAATAACTTGTGTTCAAGTGTATGGATCTCTCTGAAATTGTACTGCAAGGTACCATACCACAAAGGGAAGGAGTGGGTTTGAGTTTGGGGTTGATGAATAATAAGGGGGTTCAAAAAATTTGGGGGGGGGGGGATTTTTTTTTTTCTTTTTTTCCTTTTTTTTTTTCTTTTAAAATTTTCCATTTTAAGTTGGTTATTTCTGATTTATATTTAAAAGCAAATAATAATGATATGGTAGGAGATACACACCAAACAGGATGTGTAAATTATTATATAATAAGTATTGTGCAATAGCAAGAAATTTTCAATTGCACAGTATTGCACAATAGCAAGAAATCTTCAATTGCACAGTATTGCGCAATAGCAAGAAATCTTCAATTGCATAGTATTGCGCAATAGCAAGAAATATCCAATAGCACAATATTGCGCAATAGCAAGAAATTGTCAATTGTACAGTATTGCGATTGCGCAATAGCAAGAAATATTCAATTGCACAGTATTGTGCAAAAGAAGATACTTCGTATAAATTGCTTATTTCTTGATCAATTTCAATGGGGTTTTATTCTTGAATTCTTAGGGTTCTTTGATATGCTGAATCTAACCGTGTATTAAGTTTTTGGATTTTGGGCCCCGTTTTTAAATTGGTCCGCATTGAGGTCCAAAGGGTCCAAAATTTAACTTTGTTTGATTTCATCAAAAATTGAATTATTGGGGTTCTTTGATATGCCGAATCTAACCGTGTATTTAGATTCTTAATTTTTGGTTCTGTTTTCAAATTGGTCTATATTAAGGTCCAAAGGGTCCAAAATTAAACTTAGTTTGATTTTAACAAAAATTTTAATTTTAGGGTTCTTTGATATGCTGAATCTAAACATGTATTTAGATTTTTGATTATGGGCCCAGTTTTCAAGCTGGTCCAAATCGGGGTCTAAAATTAAACTTTGTTTGATTTCAACAAAAATTGAATATATGGGGTTCTTTGATATGCTGAATCTAACCATGTATTTAGATTTTGGATATTGGACCATAATAGGTGAATGTCCAATTTAAAATTTTTAAGTTCTTAGACCACATTCATTCTGTGTCAGAAACCTATGCTGTGTCAAATATTTAATCACAATCCAAATTCAGAGCTGTATCAAGCTTGAATGTTGTGTCCATACTTGCCCCAACTGTTCAGGGTTCGACCTCTGCGGTCGTATCAAGCTGCGCCCTGCGGAGCATTTTATTTGTTATTATTTTAATATAATTATAGATATATATAAACTGTAAGCAGCAATAATGTTCAGCAAAGTAAGATCTACAAAATGTTAATATGACCATAATTGGCAATTGACCCTTTAAGGAGTTATTGCCCTTTAAAGACAATTTTACACAATTTGTTCATCAAGTTTGCTAACATTTAAAAATCTCCTCTGAAACTACTGGGCTAATTACTTTCAAACTTAACTAAATGTTCCTTAATGTATCTTGTTTATAAATTGTATCCGAAGTTTGTATTCATCGACAAACATGGCCACCATGGCTAAAAATAGAACATAAGGGTCAAATGCAGTTTTTGGCATATATCTCAAAAACTAAATCTTTTAGAGCGAATGTGATATGGGGGTAAACTTGTTTAATTGGTCAAGATCTATCGGCCCTGAGATTATCAGACGAATCGAACAACCCATTGTTGGATTGCTGCCACCGAATTGGTAGTTTTAACAACATTTTGCAGTTTTTTGTTATTATTTTGAAAATTATTATAGATATATATAAACTGTAAGCAGCAATAATGTTCAGCAAAGTAAGATTTACAAAAAAGTTAATATGTCCAAAATTGTCAATTGACCCCTTAAGGAGTTATTGCCCTTTAAAGACAATTTTACACAATTTATTCATCAAGTTTGCTAACATTTTAAAATCTTCTCCTCTGAAATACAGGTGACCTATTCAGGGTCTTGAGAGCCTTTTGTCTTGCTTCTGAAGCTTAAAAGAATTGTTGTTACAATTTTTTTTATTACCAAACACAGACTAGATATAATAAAATCATGTTTATACAAAAAGTTTGGTTTATATATATATATATATATATTTATACATGTATAAATAGGTAAACTTGTCACTTTGAAAACTTGTACCAACTTATAAAATGGTCAACTAATTACAATATAATATGCATTATAAACATAAAGAATCGAAATAATTGGAAAGATACATTGTGATTGTCATTGAACTGTCTCTCTCAGGTTTTTTTTACATTGGCAGTTTAGGAATCCATAAAACACCATCCTCCATAACATGCACTAAAGGTGCTGACATATGGCTAACATAGATGACCTGATTTGGCAAATTGTTACTTGGTGTTACAAAATAGCACTTAGAATCTTCTAGGTATCCAAGATAACTAACCCACACTAGTTCGTTTATGTCATTCTTGAAAAAGAATTGAATTCTACCAACACAGTTGTTGTACATAATCACCGAACACTGCTCTCGTTGAGTAGGCTTCTCAATCGACACATCCCTATATGTCCCTTTCTGATTTGAGGCATGATGGTATATTGTTATTTCCTTTTGAATAATCTCACTTTGGTAAAAGTCTTTAATTTGTGGCATTTCATCTGCTGTAAGATGTCTCGTCTCTGGGTTAAATCTTCCAGCAGACTGTTTAGTTTAGCTGCTTCTACTTTAATTGGACGGAAAAAACCAGCACTGTTGAGTAAAGTGATCAACCACTGCACCTATTGTAAAGAAAAAAAAAGATAGTGTAGGAATACTATATTTGTTTGAATCTTCCATGTACAAAAGTATCTTTATCAACCACACATCTGTATAATATCAATCACACTAATCCTCTGTTTGTGTAATAAAAAAGATAAATATATTCTCTTAACCATGATTAACCATTTAAAAAAAAAACAACATTATAATACATCAGTTTCGAAATTAATTGTGTCAGTTTTCATTTCTGATTTGATTTTTCGATTTCACACAAAATTCTGACATGTGATAAGGTCCGAAATTCAATGCAATGTGCAGATCAATACAAAGGCATCTGCATGAAAATTACATAGAGGATGACGTCAATTTGAACAGGCTTGGAGGATCATAAGAGCGATAAGCAGAATTTTTTTTTGGAATCATTCCATATGCTTAATTCCCTAGCGTTTATTCTAGAAAGATACATAGAAAAATTCCCGACAACAACTTTCTCAGCCTCCACATTAAAACATAATCTATCCCGAAATACAGTATTGCATCCCATAATTTTGAATGTATGTAGGTGAAACAAGCTAATTAAAGAATAAGTCACTATTTTCTTTTTGTTCCTTTGCTGTCTAGTACACCTCTTTGCTTTTCATTCCATTCCAAAAAGTGCTGGCAATTACATAACTTTCCTAGTTTAACTCCGAATTTGTCCGAATTATTATTTTTGTTTATATCTTTTCAAATAGGCTTTAAACACTATATAGCCTTTTATAGACTTTAATTTGTCCCTTAAATAATTGTTTATTTATAACAAAGAAAATTTGAGAACATTCACTTTCTGAACTATTTCTCCTCTCGGCTCATTACTGAAGACCTTTGTTTTGACAACACTTGACCCCAACAGGAAGTTATATAAGTAATCTTTTTTTTCGAGACTGGACTAAATAGCGCGAAGGTGAATTGACAAAGACCATGCTTGAACATGTACTTTCATTCTAAAATAAATCAATGCTTACCTCAACTTTCTTAATGGCAGATAACTCAGGATACTGGTTGTTTGATACTGCCTCTGTTAAAGTGTGATTAAATCGCTCGTTAGGGAACATCCAAAAATTTCTTGGTGGTCCGTACAATCTTATATATTGTGGTAGATGATGTAGTAGGTGGAAGAAAAACGTCTGAAAGAAACATGTAAATTTAAATACAAATTAAGAATTTCATTTATAGTCATGGAATAAATAGTTACCCCTCTCCTATAAATAACAACACAAAGGAAGACCTACAACTCTTCTTTTAAAGCATGCAAAGCAAACCTTTGATCAACTTGCTTGCTATGTTTGCTTGGATGTTTGCAAACAATAGGTAGGCGGAGTTTCAGTTTCTTATAACGTGACTCTGTACTTTAAAAGATCCCGTCATTATGTTATTGTTCTATTATATGTCATTATGTTATTGTTCTATTATAAATTTGAAAATACTTTGAACGACAAACGACAAATTTATTTTACTCGCGTAGTGGTATTTACCATATGTGGATTCTTAAGGGTTCTGAAGAACTTCTGGACAATTATAAATCTCGGTCTATTTCTGAAATTAATTCTAACATAACTTTTGATTTTTTAACCCTGTATACCAACATTCCCCATGTGAAATTATAAAATTGTTTTGAATAGACATTGAATGACAAACTTTTTTCTTATGTGACGTTTACATTTTCTGACGTCAGACACGCGAAGCAATGAATGTGGGTCTTAATTTGATAGATGCTTTTGTGCTTTTTTTGTAAATAATTGTTTGTTTTGATATTGTAACACAGTGATGACTGCTGTACCCATATTTTGACTATTTTGTTTATAATGTCTGTTTTGTTCACGCATCGTTGTAAATATAACGAAATTTGATAAGACTGTCGTACAAGTGAGAGGTTTAGCGCTATAAAACCAGGTTCAATCCACCATTTTCTACATTTGAAAATGCCTGTACCAAGTCAGGAATATGACAGTTGTTGTCCATTCGTTTGATGTGTTTTGTCATTTGATTTTGCCATGTGATTAGGGACTTTCCGATTGAATTTTCCTCGGAGTTCAGTATTTTTGTGATTTTACTTTTTGTTTTGTATATACTGGAATTTGATTAGACAATAAAAATTGACATGCAATGAAGTTAATGTTTATTGTCCAATCAAATTCCAGTATATAGTAAACAGACTACCTACCTTTTGTTAACAAACATACCTTCCTTTTGTTTACAAACATCCAAACAAACATAGCAAGCAAGTTGATCAAAGGTTTGCTTTGCATTCTTTTATAGAAGAGCTGTAAATAGAATTCAAAATTTGAGTAAAACAATTCACTATTCAGAAGATTGCAGAAACAGAATTACACTACATTGAATTCACTTGTAGTGATTTTCAATGCATTTGTATTAAACTTAAATATGACAACCGGCATAGATCATACGTTTGGATATTTTCAACAATTACACCATCCCCATTCAGGCAATGCAGGAAGGCAAGTTTAAACACTATCACATGGGTTTTTTCTATGGCACTTATATACTGTAATTAAAAATGCTTTGGAAATTTTTATCAAAACGGGTAGGGGGGGATTAATACTTTTTGTTGTGTCAATTGTAGGCACTTATCTTTCAGTCAATCCATTTATTCAGTTTAGCACTACATTGTGCAATAGAGTTAAGCAATATAGTTAATTTAAATATCTTTTAAAACACCTTATAAACTTTTAAAGGGCTGTTCTAAAATTTATTAATTATTTATGGGTGGTCACATAACCATACAATTCTGTTACATTTTAATGAGGTTTGACACAGCAAAATTATTGAACTTAAAGACAATATACATGCATCATTTTAGAATTTATGGGAGGCATCATACAATCTGTACTATGACGACAATGAAATATTCCAATTTACAGTATTTTCTTTCTATAATAACCGAGTTATATGTTACCTGTAAGGCAGCTGGGAAATCTCTCTCCATCAGACACAAAGCCTCATGCCATCTCTTTTCAAAGTTGTCAATCAAGTCCATATCAAATGAAGAACCATATGCCTCCTCTAGGACTAACAGAAAGTTAACTAGAGGAAGTTGACTATTGAATTTCTCTGTGGAGTACCCAGCATTCCTCGTATACAGAATCGTATGATACCATTTGAAAACAGCTGAAAAGTTAAAAAGGGTCAAAATTAAAATACTTGATAAAAAAAATTATTTAAAATGCGTATCATTATTTATCAACTAGAGCAGTTTATGATTCGTTATATTACTTTTAATTAATAAGGTTATAACACTTGAATGTAGTACTGTTCAAGTCAATAATTATATATTCATTCAGACCAACTGTTATAGTTTTTTTCATTTCTATGTGTCATGCCTGTAGAAAAATCGACTTATGGAAAGTATTTCATTATGTGAAAAAGACCACCACATGATACTTAGAAAAATGATAATTTATATTCATAATGTTCATATCAAATATCTAAATTAAGAAGTTAATATTGCAAACAGGTAGAATACTTGGATGGATTGATTGATTGTTGGTTTTTTAACGTCCAGTGGCAAATAGTTCATGCATATTCAGGACGATACTTGGATTCATGCATCTTCCAATTTATATAGGACCCCCAAGGGTGACTGGGGAATAGAAGTATGGTCACCATTGGTCTTCCTCCGACCGGCAGTAAAACCCTTACTAAAGTGGGGCGTCCGTTTGGTTGTGCGGGATGTACAAATTTGCAGCCACGTCCGGTCAGAATGGGGACGTTAAAGCCGATGACTCGTGTAAAGAGAGTGACTGGACAAGGCGGACTGGCCCTTGTTTGAGAATTTCTGTCAAGCGGAGCTTCAGTCAAAGATGTTTGAAACTGTTCAAGATCCCATTTTAACTGTTAACACAGTTTTAATGTCAATTGCTGACAGAACAATTCCTAAGACCCCGGCAAATCCGAAACATCCCAGCAAACCATGGTTTGATGAGGCTTGTAATCAAGCCATAGATGACCGTAAAAAATATGAAAGGCGGTTTAATCAACATCCTACGACGGAAAACTTACGTAATTTCCGTATTTTTCGCGCTAAGGCACGTCGGACTTGCAGGCAAGCACGACGTACGACTTGGAAAAACTTTGTCTCGGGGATAACATCTCGCACTCCGATGACAAAAGAATGGAACATGATACAAAAGATAAAAGGTTAAAATTCTAAAGCCACGGTAAAACATTTGAAAGTTGGCAATAATTTATTAACATCTGAAAAAGATATTGCCAACAAGCTTGGTGAAACTTTTGCGAAATCTTCTACTTCTAACAACTACAGGGAAGATTTTAAAAATGTTAAAAAACAAAAAGGAAAAATGAAGTTGAACTTTAAATCGAAAAATGGTGAAAATTATAATAAACTCTTTTCTCTGGAAGAACTCAAAACATCTCTGTCAAAAGCCTATGATACAGCTTGTGGGCCTGATAATATTCACTATCAACTCTTAAAACACTTGCCAGATTCCTCGCTGGAAGCTCTTTTGCAGCTCATGAATAAAATCTTGGAATCTGGTGATTTACCATCAATTTGGAAGCTTGCAACCGTCGTGCCTATTCCAAAACCAAGTAAAGATCACACTGATCCTATTAATTATCGACCAATTGCTCTTACCAGTTGTGTCTGTAAAACACTAGAACGGATGGTCAATGATCGCCTTGTATGGTTCCTGGAATCAAATGGGCTTTTAGCCAATATCCAGTGTGGATTCCGACAGGGTCGCAGTACTCATGATCATCTTGTTCGATTCGAATCATTTGTCCGTAATGGTTTTGCGAAAAATGAACATGTGGTGTCGGTCTTTTTCGATCTTGAAAAAGCCTATGACACTACGTGGAAGTATGGTATTTTAAAAGATCTTTTTACTATGGGGTTGAAAGGCAATATGCCAAATTTTATTTCTAATTTTCTCTCTAACAGTCAATTTAATGTTAGAGTTAATTCAACCATGTCTGATCTGTATGATCAAGAGATGGGTGTCCCTCAGTGCAGTATTTTGTCTGACATTATTTAGTCTCAAAATTAACAGCCTTGTTGAAGTTTTAAAAAGTAATATTGAAGGCTCATTGTACGTTGATAATTTTTTAATATGTTATAGAGGCATAAATATGAATAACATAGAACGCCAATTGCAACTGTGTCTCGGAAGAATCGAAAAATGGGCCTCAGAAAATGGTTTTAAATTTTTCTCATCTAAAACGTTTGGGATGCATTTCTGTAACAAAAGGAAATTGCATCTTGATCCAGAACTCACTTTATATGGAAACCTAATTAAAAAGGTTGATGAAACCAAATTTCTAGGGTTAGTTTTTGATAAAATTAACCTTTCTCCCCCATATCAAAATGTTAAAATCAAGATGTTTAAAAGCATTAGATATTTTAAAAGTTGTCGGCTGCACCGACTGGGGTGCTGATCGCAACATTTTACTTAATTTATATAGATCTCTAGTTAGATCCAAACTAGATTATGGCTCTATAGTGTATGGCTCTGCACGGAAGTCCTACATACAGATTATCGATGCTGTGCATCACCAGGGTTTGCGTCTCTGTCTTGGCGCCTTTAAAACCTCACCAGTTGAGAGTTTGTATGTAGAGGCTGATGAGCATTCACTCTTTGACAGACGATTGAAGCTTGGACTTCAATATGCTGTCAAACTAAAAGCCTATTCAGATAATCCTGCTTACAACTGTGTTTTTAATCCAATTTATGAAGATATTTTTGCAAAACATGAAAATAAAATTCCTCCGTTAGGTATACGTTTAAAACCACATTTAGCTACTTTTGATTTAAAATCTGTTGCTCAAGTTGAAACTTGGAAATGTCCTCCATGGGAACTATCCAAACGAAAAATGATATTTGATTTCCGTAAACCCAATAAAAATGAAACAAATCCTCTTTTAATTCAGCAACACTATGCTGAAATTAAAGCCAATTATTCAGATTTTTCAACTGTCTATACTGATGCCATCTGCTGCATCCATCTTTACTGCTGAAGCAGAAGCAATAATTTTGGCTTTGAAATGTATTGCTTCTTCAGATAAATCCAAATTTATTATATATTCTGATTCACTTTCATTCTTACAAGCTATACAAAATACTAAAATTAAAAACCCAACAATTCTCAAAATTTTATTTGTAATGAGGAATTTAAAAATTCTTCTTAAGGAAATAATATTTCAACAATAAAAACATAATTGATGGAACACTTGACTTCTGTGTTGACATGAATTATCATTGATATGGTCATAATTATAAATTAACTGTTTACAAAACTTTGAATTTTTGAAATAATAAGGCTTTTCTACCTCAGGAATAGATTACCTTAGCAGTATTTGGCAAAACTTTTAAGAATTTGTGGTCCTCAATGCTCTTCAACATCGTACTTTTTTTTGCTTTTTTATTTGCACCTTCAATATGTTCAACATAAGAATTGAACAGTTCTGAGAATTTTGTTTCAATGAATAGGCATTCCTTCACTGTGCATGTTTTTCTTCTTTCTTTAACATTATTCATTGCATAAGTTAGCAGTACATGTTGATATGCATACAACTTTATGGTCGACATCAATTCATGTTTAATAAGAAACTGCTCCTGCTTGGCTCTATTTATCACGCAATTCAGCTGGATAGCGTGCCTTGAAACAGTTTATAAATTGTCAGCTTGATCTGTATTTTCCAGTTTCTGCCAAATGTCAACGTCCTGGTTTTTAATATCACCTAAATTCATTTTCAGGGGTATATTTGTGTCTGGCTCTCCAACTATATTGTATTCTAGTAATGCCTGTTTAATCTAATGCCTGTTGAAGTTACAGGAAGTTTACACAATCAGGTAAATAATATTTACTTCTGCCAGTGAGACCCCAGACTGTAAGTGTTGGAAAATCTTTGAATGGTTTTGAAGTAGAATATGAAAGTTGCACCTAGCAGGTCGTGCTTGTAGAAACCCTGAAATGAAAAATTATGGTCCAAGATGTCCCTCCCTGAATTGATGTAGATGTATACAGAGCAAATATAGTTCTAGAAAGATGGTGTGATTTATTTGACAATATGAAATGTATATGAATGACAACTTCAACCAAAACAAACGTTTCAATGTTCATGATGACATTCACTTCAATTCTAGAGTAACATCACGATACATCAAATTACTGTAAATTCAGAAATTATTGCGAGGTTTTTATTAATGCGAATGGTGCGACTGGGTTAGTATAGCAATAATTAGAACTCGCATTCTGATATCTGATATATGCATCTGTATGCAGAATTTCCTGGAATCGCAATAATTAATCTCGCATTATTGTCCATTCTTCATAAATCGCAATAATAAATGCACGCAATAATTTCTGAATTTACAGTAATAGATGACCATGCAACAGGGCATATAATGACCCCTTAAAGAGTTGTTGCAGGGGTTCCGAACGTGCAGAGAGGGTGGATAAACTCATCCTAGGTACCAGGATTTAAATTTTATATTTACGCCAGACACGCGTTTCGTCTACAAAAGACTCATCAGTGACGCTCGAATCAAACAATATTAAAAAGGCCAAATAAAGTACGAAGTTGAAGAGCATTGAGGACCAAAAATTCCTAGAAGTTTTGCCCAAATACAGCTAAGGCAATATATTCCTGAGGAAGAGGAGCCTAAGTATTTCAAAAATTTAAAGTTTTGTAAACAGTTAATTTATAATTTTGACCATATCAGTGATAATTCATGTCAACACAGAACTGCTGACTTCAACGTTACCTATATTCATCTTATTTGTGTTTTGAAACCTTACGTGCTATTATGTTGTGTGGAAGACACATTGATTGCCTTCTGCTGTTTTTCTGATTTTGGGTCGGGTTGTTGTCTCTTTGACACATTCCCCATTTCATTCTCAATTTTATTTGGTAGCCTATAACATATTAACAACTTGTTATATTGTGTATGTTCATGATCATGACATTCGTTTCTGAATACAGAATAATAATTACAGAAAATGTAGATGTTAAACGTAAACAATTCGATTGGAGTGTAAGAGGCTATCATTCATTTCGTTTGAGCCCACATGTTGATATTCCATTAAAATATGAATTTGAGGATAACAATCCATTTAATCCATATGTAATGAAGGTGTTTGTACAC